GGATAAATTTCTGGACACATACAAACTATCAAAACTGAGCCAAGAAGATATAGAAAATCTCCAAAACCAAACAAAGATACATGAAAATTAGAAAACTACAGGTCAATATCTTTGATGAATAGAAATGCAGAAATCCTCAATAAAATACTAGCTAACAGAATACAGCAGCACATATACAAAATTATACACCATGATCAAGTGGGATTCATCCAAGGGATGCAAGTTTGGTTCAACATATGCAAATCAATAAATGTGATACACTATATCAATAAAATCAAACACAAGGACCATATGATCATCTCTATAGATGCTGAAAAAGCATTTGATAAAATTCAACATTCTTTAATTATAAAGACTCTTTACAAGTTAGGCATAGATGGAAAGTATGTCAACATAATTAAAGCCATATATGATAAACCCACTGCCAATATCATCCTGAATGGGGAAAAGAACAGGAAATAGACAAGGATGCCCGCTCTCACCACTCCTATTCAACATAGTGTTGGAAGTACTAGCCAGAGCAATCAGAGAAGAGAAGGAAATAAAGGGCATCCAGATTGGAAAAGATGAAGTCAAACTGTCCCTGTTTGCAGATGACATGATCCTATATATCAAACAGCCTAAAGCCTCTACAAAAAAACTCTTGGAGGTGATAAATGAGTTCAGCAAAGTAGCAGGATACAAAATCAACACACAAAAATCAGTACATTTTCTGTACTCCAATGGTGAACATGCAGAAATAGAAACCAAGAAAACTAGCCTATTTACAATAGTCACCAAAAAATTAAATGCTTAGGAATAAAGTTAACCAAGGATGTAAAAATTCTGTAATAATGAGAACTGCAAACCACTGTTGAGAGAAATTAAAAAGGACACAAGAAGATGGAAAGATATCCCATGCTCTTGGACTGGAAGAATTAACATTGTGAAAACATCTATATTACACAAAGTGATCTACAGATTCAATGCAATCCCAATCAAAATTCCAATAACATTTTTTCATAAATGGAAAAAAAAACTATCCAGATATTTATATGGAATAACAAAAGACCATGCATAGAGAAAGCAATTCTTAGTAATCCATGTACCTTTAACGATATACCAAAATCAACTCAAAATGGATTAAAGAATTAAATATACAACCTGAAACAATAAAACTACTTAAAGAAAACATAGGGGAAACACTCCAGGAAATAGGAGTGGGTACAGATGTCATGAATATGACCCCACAAGCACAGGCAACTAAAGGAAAAATAAACAAATGGGATTACATCAAACTAAAACACTTTTGCACAGCAAAAGAAACAGTCAATAGAGTGAAAAGACAATCAACAGAATGGGAGAAAATATTTGCAAAATATACATCTGACAAAGGATTGATATCCAAAATATACAAGGAACTGAAACAACTTTACAGCAAAAACCAAATAACCCAATTAAAAAATGGGCAAAGAATTGAATAGGCATTTCTCAAAGGAAGATATACAAATGGCCAACAGACACATGAAAAAATGCTCAACATGACTCAGCATTCGGGAAATGCAAATCAAAACCCGTTTGAGATACCATCTCACCCCAGTTAGGATGGCTAAAATCCAAAAGACTGAGAATGATAAATGCTGGTGAGGTTGCGCAGACTAAGGAACTCTCATACATTGTTGGTGGGACTGCAAAATGGTGCAGCCTTTGTGGTATGGAGGTTCTTCATATGACCCAGCTATCCCACTGCTGGGAATATACCCAGAGAAATGAAAGTCATCATGTTGAAGGTATACCTGTACTCTCATGTTTATCGCAACACTATTTACAATAGCCAAGAGCTGGAACCAGCCCAAATGTCCATTATCAGATGAGTGGATAAGGAAACCATGGTATATCTACACAATGGAATACTACTCTGCTATTTACAAAAAAATGAAATACTGCCATTTGCAATGACATGGATGGACCTAGAGAGAATTATATTAAGTGAAACCAGTCAGGCACAGAAAGAGAAATATCACATGTTCTCATTTATTTGTGGGAGCTAAAAATTAGTAAATAAACAAACACACAAATAAATAAAGGGGGGAGAGGGAAGAAGACACAACAATCACAACAATTTCTTGAACTTGTTAAGATAAGTGAGCAGATATGATGTGGGGGGAGGGGAGAGATGGAGGAGGGAAAGAGGAATGGTAAAGGGACACGAAAATCAACTACAGTGTATATTGAGAAGTTAAAATAAATAAATTTTAAAAAACTACTTAACGATATCAGTAAGTCAACCACCTGTTAACTCTAAAATCATTAAAGTATACAATGCTATACCTAAACAATGATTAGAATTGATTAGGTAGGCTTTTGACCCACTAGTTGTAGGCTGTTGCCTTGTAGCTAAGGACTTTTGTCCGAGAAGATTATTAGCCAAAGAGCCCTGTCTAAAAATCAATAGAGAATCAAGATTTCTAACCCTCTACAGTATCTTATAAAGGTAAATTCATAGAGACAGAAAGTAGAAGTTACCATAGTCTAGGGGGAAGGGAAGGAATAGGAAGTTATGTTTAATGGATATAAAGTGTCAGTTTTGCATGGTGAAGTAAGTTTTGGACAAGATTAGTGATGGGTCACACAACAGTGTAAATATACTCAATGCAGTAGATCTGTACTTAAAACTGGTTAAAATGGCAATTTTGTGTTATGTGTGTCTTACCACAGTTACAAAAAATACTGGCATCTGTATCCTACCCAGGAAACTTTCATTTAATTGGCCTTGGATATGACAGTGCATGCTGTTTCCACCCCACCCCCGCCAAAGTTTCTCAGGTGATTTGCAGGGTTGAAATCCACTGGTCTAGGTTGACTGTTAAAATCTCCTGAGCAAGAATATGACTTTGTTACCCTGGTTTCTAGGAGATACTTAGGTAGGTCCTACACCAAAATTCTTCTTGGGTGGGTGGGAAAGATAGATGTTTTTTTGAGGCTATAGGTCTATCCCACTGACTGTATTCCTTTAGGGTTCTTTATTTTAAAGTGGGGGAAAATTTGCTGCTTCAATGACCAATAATATCCATTATTTCTCTAATACATATTTTGTCTTTTTGATAATTTTCCTAAGGAAATTGCACAGTTTTGTTAGAAAAACTTCACATTGCTATTTAACATTGTAGTAATGCTTTGGAACATTGGTGGTGGGGTTACTTTCTGCACATAATGAGAAGGATCCCAGATGATAACTGTTGGTATTTTCCTCCTTATCTGCAAGTTGATAAGTTTATACATAGGTAAGTGAGACTTATCTCACTTCCATATTTTTTTTCAGTCACAAGTGGAAGACCTTTAGGCTCAGGTCTAGGAAACTTTTTTCAAATTCTCAGAATTTAATATAGAGATTTTGCATGAGTGATTTTTGTCTTTTAAGGGAATTGTTTGAAGTGTTCTTGTGTCTGACCTTAAAAAATGGAGCAATAGAATCAGATAAGACAGAAATTATAGGACTTAGAAAGAGATATTAGGGCTTAAGAAAGAATTCTGCTTTTGAAGTGTTTTACTCCATCACCTTTGAGTAGCCACAATTACAAATACATAACAATTCCAGGTAATTTGTGCTATCATTTAGCTATTCCAGAGATTTATTTCTAGCGGATTTACTTGTTTGAAATTCTGACTTTTGGGGACTTAAATAATTAAGTTTTCCATAGAAAATCTTTTTATAGGAGATTTAAACTGCTCAAGTTACCTTTGGATGTGGTTCTAACTGAGGTTTTAAATAATCTTGTTGTTTAAGCTACTTGACTTTGCAGTATGAAGACAGGAAATGATTTTGAATTAGTTTCTAGTTGTTGGCACCTAAGTTATCTGAATGACAGTCGGCCTTTGCTACCCAGATCAAAGGAGGAAAAGAAAAGATGTTGGCCCTGCGGATGTGTCTTCTGAGTGGGTGATGTTAATGACCATAACCAGGAGGCAGATGACACCAGTGAGGGGTGGTCCACAGATGAAGACAAAGGAGACTTGCACCAGCCAAAGAAGAGAACAGAAGCCAAGTCACAGTGGTGTGAAAGCCCGTGGCTTCAGAAAACTGAAGGCAGGAGACAGAAGCGTTGAGGAAAAGCAGGGGGTGGTAGAAATTAGGACCAGCTGCTGGCTGCTGCCACTGCTGCAGCACTGGAAATGGCTGCAGCTCTCTGTGCTGACAGCACATTCTGACTGTGCTAGAGGTAAACAGCTCTGGGGGTCTTATTCACCCCCAGATATTGGCTAATGCTATTAGCAATGCTGTGTCTGTAAAAGAGTTTAATCATGTGCACTGCACTGTTTAAGAAAGTATTCAGCTGTGTGTTGTGTTTTAGCTAAACATCCATGAAAAACAAGTTGTCACAATAAAAATGTGGGTGATTTAGTTTAGTTTATGTGAAGAAAAAAACTTAAGGGAATAGCTTTTTCTCAAGCTGCCACATACAGATGAATTACTGTAAAGTTATTTTTTTCCACCTTACAGTTTTCTAATGTTTTGTTTTCCTTTATTTCAAAAATTATGTGGCGCTATAGATATGAAGAAAATCATAGTAAAATTACTTGTAATGCAAAAACACTGTTAACATTTTGTTGTTTATCCTTCCCGTGACTTCTGTGTCTGTATTTTAAAAGAAGGAAAAAATGAGTCTTTATTGCATGTACTGTTCACATAGTAGGAACAATTTTTCTTACTATAATGATACCTTCATTTTTCCTGTGTACATATGGACTTTTAACCGAATAGTTTTACAGTAGACATAAACATACTTTTGTTGTCTTCAGCTGTACATTTGATCACACTTTCATATTGAAAGATCCCATGGAAAAATCAACTATCAGAAAAATTTGAGGCTGTGAACTGTTAATTCTTTAGTTGCTAGTGCTAACTTTAGTATGTCTGACCCTTAGAATGATTTAATATGTTGAATCTGATGTTCCTGTCTAAGTGCCTTTACTTATCTTAAAGGATGCATTATAAAACAAGATATACTCCTTCTCTTTAGCCTTCTCTGGTTATTCAACAGATACAAAGTATGACCCACACCAGATTAAAGCAGAAATAGCAAGTCATCAGGGCAGGTTGAGTAAAACAAGTGTTTTCACAACAAGAAGTGCTCTATGTATTTTTATGTAATGTCACTTATCTTCATTCATTTTATAGTGGTTGGTGTATGTAACACTGATTTTAGTAAGATTTTTGATTTCATGGATTATTTTACTACATTTTGGTTTACCCTCCAGTTTTTTCACAGTAGGAGGAAAAAGGTTTCATTTTAAAGCCTTAGGTCATCAAACAAAAAGTAGCCTGTGTACCTGTGCATGCTTCATGGGACTAAACCCACCAACCATGTGGAAAGATTTTGTGACAGCAGGGCCCGTCTCTGCAGCTGCTCCCCTGTGGTAGCAGGTGCTACCCTGGCCCTTGTCAGCCTCGGCAGCTGCTGCTGTCCTCTGGGTAGTCCTAGAGGATCACTTCTGCAAGGTCATTTACCAGAAGGGTCCTGACACCTGAATTCTTTATGTGTTACCTTGTTCTGTCCCTTCAGACCCTGGTCTTGGTTGTCTGGGAAGGTGGATACTTTTGTTGCACTTGCGACAGAGCACAGGAGACACGTTGGCAGCGAGGCATCCTCTTCCCCTGGTGTGTTGTTCCCTGACCCAGGGTGCATCTTTTATAGCAGTGGTTCTCAAATATTTAGCACACCTAAGAAAAATACCTGGGAGCTTGTTCAAAGTGTGAGCTCCTAAGCCCACTCCTTGAGTTTTGAAAGAGGCCTGGAGTGGCTCCCAGAATCTGTTTAATAAGTGCTCCCGGCAATTGAATTTCTGGTAGGCAGAGAAACTATGACTAGTAACACTATGAATAGTAAGGAGAAGGAAAGATGAGAGAAATATTACAGAGCATGCTAATTGTAATTAGCAAATCACTATCTTGAAAAGGAAAACATGCTGGTTCCCAACTCAGCTAGGAACTGGGATTTTTGTAGCAAGGCTGTTCTAGAATGGCTGATGTAGTTGTGTGTGACTGGAAGTTCTTGGAGGGCATAGATGACCCACTGAATTGTAAGCTAACTAGAAACTTAGATGACAATGCTAATACCAATTGTAGAAATAATTTTTCACAGCTTGTTTTTGGAAAAAAAGTGTAATTTGTCTTTAGCTTTCCAGATGTGAGCTGACCCAGATGAAGCAGGAACTGCAGTACAAAGAAAAGAGGGTGGAGACCCTGCAAGAGTGAGTTGCCTGCGCTACAGAGGGGAGCCTCCTCCCGGCCGGCCTGTTTCGTTCTTGGGCACGTGTCCAAGAGCTTTGCGACCATCGCGACCTTCGCGACCTTCGCTTGCATGCCTTTATTCACACTTACTATATCCCAGTCCCCAGCAGCAGAATCTCTTTTCCTTGAAGGTGCTTCACTCCTTTAAATGGGAGTACTTGAGAAACAAGACTTTTATTTTTATACCTATGCACATTCTTTATAGCTGCATAATATATATATGCACAAGAGTTTTAAAGTTAAAGTTTAAGTTAATTAGAATTAAATAAAATTTAAAATTATATTCTCTACAGTGTTAGTCATATCTCAAGTGTTCAGAAGCCACATGTGGTCAGTCAGGTTTTTTTTTTTTTTTTTTTTTTTAACCTCCACACTGTTAACGTATTTGGTTACATAACCATTTATCTCTGGGGTTGTCCTGTGCATTGTATGATATTTGGCAGCATCCCTGGCCTCCATCTACCCACTTGAATTCCAGTGAAGATACCTCATGTGAGACAACCAAAAGTGTCTCTGCTATTGACAGACATTCCCTAGGGGCATGATCACACCCAGTTGAGAATCACTGGGCTAGTCACTACTGCTTTGTACAGCATAGATAGTAAAACATTTTCATTATCACAGAAAGTTTTGTTCGACACCACTGTTCAATAGGTGTTTCTCCGATTTGCCTTCTTAAAATTGGAATATTATTTGCCCAAGAGTTTAAGGGTGAATGTCTCACAATTAGCGAACTATATTAAGTAAAATTGATGAACAAAATTATTTTACAAATGGTGATAGCATTGGTCTGAAAGAATTTTCTTAGGGAAGGGTATTGTGTGCTTGCTGGCTGAGAGTCACTCTCTCTCGATCCGGAGCTTGGCCTCACTTGCTGAGCTTGGACACATGCTGCACGTGTTCTGCGCCTACGTGTCTTATCTGCAAATGTCGATCCTATGCTGAATTGTCTGGGAGGCAGCACCAGCTCCCCGTGCCTCGTCAGCCTTCAGCAAATGCTAGGATTCCGTATTACTATTACTGATGAGGGTGGAGGCGTGCCACTCTTTGGCGTCCTGTGTGCGGACTCAGTAACAGCGCGTCACCGAGGACCGCAGCACTCTTCTTTAAGGGGAGGTAGTATGTGAACTGGAGTGTTTGACAGACGCAATGATCTCAGCCTCACAGGAAGGGTAGCCGGGGCGTGTCAGACCCTACTGTTTAACACTTTCTTACTCATCCAGGGTTGGGTTGGCTCAGCATTTGTGTGTGACCGTTTTTCATTAAGGTCATGTAGGCACCAGGGGAGACACAAAAGGTGAGCTGGGCCCTGCCGAGAGGGGCTTGGCTTAGAGGGGCTTAGCTCTCTCTGGCCCGTCTCCAAGGGCTGTTCAAAGACGATTGTTTATTCAGAAGCACTGCGGCGCCCCCTGCAGGTGGGTTTTGATAAACCTGTTACTTTAACCTTACCTATTGTCCATTCGCCTTCTGCTTCCTCAGCACCACCCGGCAGTGCGCTAGCGTGTGTTCTCCTGCGTTTTGGATCTACCATCAAGATTACTTTAATTGGCCCTAGTACAGCTTTTTTTTTTTTTTTTAAAGTTTGTCTTGAGCAAATTAGCTTCTTTTTCAGTACTGGCTGCTGGTTTGGTCGCTCATTTTGTCCATTTGCTGCAGTGCTTCCAAATGCACTGATATGTGTTCTGGCATTTTCTACCCTGCGGTCCAGCCAGCCTGTGGCTGCGTCATCCCATACACCATCTGCTAAAGGGTGGATAATGAATAAGCAAAGCAAACCGTTTGATTTGCTAGGTTGTCAAAAGTTGCTAGGACTGTCTAGTCGAATTTGAGGTTAGTTTCCAACTGTCATTGGGCTACGCAGTAGCTCTCTCTCATTACTCTACAGTGTCTATGGATAATATGTAATTTTAATGCCAGGCATTTGCATGCTGGAAGTTGCAGTTAATTTAATTCTCACCAGCAGAAGCTCTGAGGAAGATGACTGAGGTTCAGAAACAGTCTGAGGTTGTACAGGACCCCCGACCCTCAGAGGGGAGCCAAGCCCAGCACTTTCCTGCAGGCTATAGCTTCTGTAGTGGGCTGGCTGGCCCCAACACCTGTTCCTTTGCCTGGGCTCCATCATTCTGGCAAACTCCGTTTCCTTATTTCAAGACAAAGGTTATATTGCCATGTAGCTTAAGACTAAATAATCTAGAAAATAAAATGTGCTGGTGACTCAGAAAATCCCCTGCCCCTTGGCATTGCTAGGAAATACATTCAGCTCTTGTAGTTGCAGTGATTTCAAGAACAGGAAAGGCAGCCTCTGTTTCTCAGAGCATATTGGATGGGGAAGCAGAAGCCAGTACAGGGAGAGTTTTAGCTTTTTACCTGCGGCCAAAATGAAGTACGAGTTGTGCTCCTGGAAGATGAGGGCCAGTGCTGCTTGTTTTTCTCTCTGCTTTTGTTAGCAAGATCCTACGTTTGGAACAGTGATTGTAAACTTGTCCCTTGCCAAGGGGAGGCTCCGTGTGTCTGCCAGAGCTGGTGGGGACGCCAGCCCTCCCCCGAGGAGGCCAAGGGGAGGCACAGAGAAGACTCTGGACCTGCCCTTGGTCCTGAGGGGCCCACCCCAGTGGCATGCCTCAGCTTTCCAGATTGGCCTGTTGCCTCCACTCCATTTGACACTGCATTGTCACTGTGTGTGTTTACTTTATTCTGTAAACACAGCCTCACAGGAAGAAGAGTAACACGGGCACTTGTGCCACCTTAAAATTCATTGTAAGTGAAAAATAATCTCTCTGAGTTCCACAGTCTATGAGATGAAAACAGCTTCATTATTTTTCTGGTATTGAAGATTGTGCTTTTATATTTGGATTGAATCATGCAAATTTACATTATTTACTAAGAAATTCTGAAAACTGTTTTCAAGCATTGATCCCACCTCTACTGTGAAATCTCAACTATAACTACAGACAGCACATAAACTGTCGTACATAAACGTGAAGCTTCTCTGATATTATTACTCACATCGATTTAAGGCAGCAGCCCTCAATTTTCCTCCAGAAAATTTTCTGCTGCTCTTGCTTCCCAGAATATCCAGTGTATTCTTTTCCAGAGCACCTCACCAGGAGTTTGGCTGCTTATAACATTTTAAACTCAACTTGTTTATCTTGGTGAAGTTCCTGGCTAGCAAGGAAATCCATCATTACACTTGGGTCCAAGTGAGGAAAAAAGAACCATTTGTATTTTTTTTTTTAAATTTGTATATGTTGTTAATTTTTGTAGAGGGGAGCTGGCCATGGATACATTCTCTGGATTAATGACAGAATATGTACATGTGCGTGTATGTCTATTATGTACATGTAATCTTTTAACAACAGAAAATGTCAAACATGAAAGTAGAGAGAATAGTATAATGAAACCCTCTGGAGGGTTTACACCACACAATGGCCAATTGTGGTTTTTCTGTGACCCTGCCCCATGCCCTAAGCTCTTACCGTCTTATTGCCACAAACCCCAGACTCACATTTAATCCACAAATATTTCTTCTAAAGTTATGGACTCCTTTTGAGAATATAACTCTAATACCCATGCTCCACCTCATAGGCTTCCCTTCTCCAGTGAGCCTTCCCGTTTCTCCAGATCCAGGTGAGGCCACGCAGTGCATTTGGATAATGTGTCTCTTAAGTCTTTTAAGTCTTTCCTCCCCCTCCTTTCACTGTCCCCCTACCCCCCAGCAAGGTATTTGTTGAAGATAGTAATTTGCTTGTCCCAGAGAATTTCCCTGGTGTGGATTTTGCTGCTTGAATTTGCGTGATGTCACTGAACATGTTCTTCTATCCTCTGTTCTTTATGCAAATAGGTGTCATTAGTTTGAGAGTCCTGATCTGATTCAAGTTAGATTTTTTTCCTTCTTTTTTTTTTTTTTTAGTAACAATGTTTTGTAGGCGGTGGTGTTACTTGGGGGCACACACACTCTATGGTTGTGGCTTTTCATGATGTGAAGATTATCTGTGGGTTCTGGCCTTGCCGGCCTGATGCTTCCATTTATAACATTTTCCATCAGCTTGTCACCTCATTGCACCTGTTGAGAATATGTTCCTGAAGGTGGGCTTGCTGGATAAAGGGTGAATGCATTTGTTATATTATTGGATTTGGCCAAGTCCCCCTCTTCAGGGGTTGCATCATTTCTTGTCCCCACCACTAACGTATAAATGTGCTGTTTCCTGCAGCTTTGCCCCCAGAATGTGCCATCGGCCTTTTGCATTTTTGCCAGTCTCCCGGGCAAGAGATCATGTCTCAGGGTAGTTATAATTTTCATTTCTCTTGAGCCCTTTTATATAAATCTTCAGAAAATAGGAGCATTATTTACAATGAGTAATTAAAGTCTTCAGAAAAATTGAGCTTTTCCTAGTGGAGGACCTACTAGCCTCTGCTGCTTTAAGGTTTCTGAAGCTTGTAATGGAAATTTATCTTAATGTAGCTCATCAGTAGTATCCAGAGGCTAAGGGAAGATGGGTGAGCCACGAGAACGGGCCGAGTGCACCAGTAGGTGTAGGGAGATTCCCCTCTCTAGTTCTCTCCTGTGCAGCCAGCAAGCACATTTAGTCTTGCTTCACCCTGAGTTTCCCATGGTTATGTCACATCAAAGCCTTTTTTCCACCATGACACCTATAACATCCCTGAGTACTGGTGCCATGGCAGAAGACGCTTTGGGAGAACACTGCCTTGACCACCTTGTTACCACATCTGCTGTTCACGGTGTGATATTTCCACACCTAGCACTGGATCCTTCTCACAGTTTCCACTGTGACTGCTCTGGGCTGAGCACTGCTATGACTCGCCATTTTCACATGGCAGCCACAGGGGTTCTTTAACATGTCTCCTCTACGGTGACCCTCCTGCGGCTTTCTCTCTCACGTAGAATACAGGCCAGACTCTAGATGAATTGGCTCCCTGGCTCAACCTTACTTCCCTCTGG